CGACAAGATTTAGGTAAAACGAAACCAACGGTTGTAGGATAACACGTGCTTTGCAGAAGTGCAAGGGAAGAACCGTCGCGCAGTTTCTCCAAGGCGCCGTAGCCCGTTAATTTATTGCCAGGGTACCCACTGCTTCGAGATAGAAAACAGACGTCACGTGCATCGGCTTGAAAATGTCCGAAATGAAGAGGCCCTGGCCGACCACCCTTGTAGAGGCCGGAGTGGAATTTTCGGTTCTTTATGGCTCAATTTCTTCGGCCTTTTTTTTTTTAGTATTCCGTCAAATATCTCGGAATTTATTAGAAATATAAAAACCGTACAATTTGCAATATTGTGTTTGTTTTGATATTGAATGTAGCTATATCATTGAATTCCAGAATAATCCCTTTCTTTAAACAATCTTTCGTTGAACTCTTTTCCGTAAATCATTGATACTTTGATATAGCTTTTAATCTATTGAAATAGTCTGGAGCGTTAGCGATACCATCAGTCGACTCTAATAGTGGAGCGCCCGATTCTTTTACCTGAACCGGGGCACACCGCTGTCTTCAGTGGGTTACTATTACGTTAATATGAACCGCATCACCCTACCGATAGGCTTATTTTACGGAAAAGAATTTAACGAATACGGTTTTTATATTTCTAATAATTTCCGAGATATTTGACGGAATACTAAAAAAAAAATTCGTATGAAATGTTTTCATGAGAACTACAATTTCACAAAGTTGTAATAAAATTGTCGATTGTCAATTCTGTTGTGAGTTCACGATTGCTACGAGGCCGAAGATTTTAAGCCATAAATAACCGAAAATTCCACTCCGGCCTCTACAAGGGTGGTCGTCCAGGGCCTTGCAGCGTCAACTGACACGTGTCGGTAAATTTTTTTCCCTGCTCCTCGAGATAGACAATGTACACTGTACTTTCCAACTCGAAGCAAGGGATACGTTGATGGTCCTCTTCATTTCGGACATTTTTAAGCCGATGCACGTGATGTCTGTTTTCTATCTCGAAGGAGTAGGTACCCTGGCAATAAATTAACGGGCTACGGCGCCTTGGAGAAACTGCGCGACGGTCCTTTCCTTCCACTTCTGCAAAGCACGTGTTATCCTAGAACCGTTGGTTTCTTTCTACCTAAATTTTGTCGTGGTGGGAGTGAACTCACAATGTAACGATGGGAAACTACTTGGGGGTAGAGGAAGCCCTTTCGGAAAAATTCTGTCAGTCGGTTAGCAATCGGGCGACAGAGATGTTCAGTTCACGGGAGTATTACGGAATCTTATGGTGGTACGTACACAATAACGGATATGCGGGTGTTGGTGTGCAAGTGTTTGGTTACGTAAAACATCTGAAAAATTGAAACCAATCGGCCCTTTCCGGGGATACGAATTTTCCTAACGTAGTAACAACACGTTGGATTAAAAATACATTAAGTGATTGTGTCGGGTGATCAGTGTTAGTGCAGTGCAGTGAAGTGAATACATATTCGATGGATTAACCAGGACGCACTTGACGTTACAAATCTTAACTTCGGCTGGTGAGGTATACCTGCGATCACCAGTAGCATAGACTCTACCCTGCCATAAACCATTTCGTCCGTTGATGCCCAGGCTCGGTACACTGACCTAATGACGCAGGTTTCTACGCTGCAGGTGAATTTCGGTAAGGGTGAGTTCTATTCAGTTTATTGGTCATTATTGTTTTATTAATTTCACCGAACTACAATCACTTCTCGTTTATTCTTTGTTACATTACCTTTTCGTTCACACGTTATTTGAAAAGGAAATTTACAAATTCGTAA